GAAGATATGTCTGAAATGGAGATGAAATAAAAAAAGGACGATTTAGACAAGTGTACTGATTTAGCTGGCTACAAAAAAAAAGTCTCCAAAAGGAAGGGCTAGATAGAAGCCATAGCAACTGGAGTTTAGAGCAAATATAAAGAATGGATGAGAGGAAAGAATCCTACCATAGCTCTTTACAGGAAGAGACCCTATCATAGAATCACAGAACAGTTTGGGTCGGAAGGGACCTTTAAAAGTTGTCTAGTCCAACCCCCTGCAATGAGCAGGGACATCTTCAACTACATCAGGCTGATCAGAGCCCCATCCCACTTGACCTGGAATGTTTCCAAGGATGGGGCATCTACTACCTCTCTGGGGAACCTGTGCCAGTCTTTCACCACCCCCACTGGGAAAAATTTCTTCCTTAGATCTAGTCTAAAGCTACCACCTTTTACTTTAAAACCGTTACCCTTTTCCTATCGCATCAGGGCCTGCTAAAAAGTCTTTCTTAGAGGTCCCCTTTAAGTACTGGAAGGCTGCAATAAGGTGTCCCTGGAGCCTTCTCTTCTCCAGGCTGAACCACCCCAACTCTCTCAGCCTGTCCTCAGAGGAGAGGTGCTCCATCCCTCGGATCATTTTTGTGGGCCTCCTCTGGACCCGCTCCAACAGGTCCATGTCTTTCCTGGCCTGAGGGCTCCAGAGCTGGATGCAGGACTCCAGGTGGGGTCTCACCAGAGCGGAGTAGAGGGGCAGAATCACCTCCCTCGACCTGCTGGCCACGCTGCTTTTGATGCAGCCCAGGACAGGGTTGGCCTTTTGGGCTGCGAGGGCACATTGCGGGCTCAGGTCCAGCTTTTCATCCACCAGCACCCCCAAGTCCTTCTTGGCAGGGCTGCTCTCGATCCCTTCATCCCCCAGCCAGTATTGATACCAGGAGTTGCCTTGACTCAGGTGCAGGACCCTGCACTTGGCCTTGTTGAACCTCATGACATTCACATGGGACCACTTCTCGAGCCTGTCCAGGTCCCTCTGGATGGCCTCCTGTCCCTCAGGCGTGTGAACCACACCACTCAGCTTGGTGTCATCTGCAAACTTGCTGAGGCTGCACTTGATCCCACTATGTCATTGATGCAGATATTAAAGAGTACTGGTCCCAATACAGATCCCTGAGGGTCCATATTTTAGCAAACCCACTATTTTACTAATAGGACTTCTCAATCTTAACTTATTATCATATGGTGAAAAGACTGTGGGAAGGGATACTCCTGTATCTGGCAGTAAAAGCTACGTATTTCACTAGGATCTTAAAATAACTGAAAAAAAGAAACCATAGCAGGGCAAACTAGACTTTTAAAAGGATCCAATGCGATACTGAATCCATGTAATTAGTGATCTTATATCCACACAGCTTTCATCAACCACACCTGCTAATCAAATTGTGCTTTTCTCATAAATACTTTTTAATTTCTGTCGCTTACCTTAAGAGGCTCGTACCAGAATGGTAGCTCAGAACCAGGGCTGAAAAAGTGCTGATTGATGCAGCAATGAGTATCCTCATCATTGATTTCCCCTTGCATTATAACATGGAGCAGATGATGACAATAAATAAGAGTTTTATATCAGCTGATAAAGCAGCTCATGTAATGACACAGCTGAGATGACCCTCTCTGAATCATGAGCAGTCTAGCGAGCAACTACAGACTCTGAAGGTGAATTCAAGCGATTTCTCCCAGAGACAAGTGCTGGGCCTCTAGATGAATGGCTCAGTGGTTGCACTTGTACACTGGGAAAGCTCTGCCGAAAGTAGTGATAATCAGAGGGGCCTTTTAAAAAAAGAAAAATTTTTTAAAAAGTGGGGGGAAAAAAGAAAAAAGAGATATGTAGACAGAGGGGAAAAAAAACTGCTCATGGAATGAATTACACTATGATCAAGTTATCCCCCAAAGTGAGAAGGTTTGAATAGTTATTTTTCATCTCTTGCAATAAGTCACCTGAATACATGGCCTAAAACTTGAATCCAGCCCAAATTTCAGCTTCAGAAATTACCTAGTTCTGCCTCCTCAACTATCTTTGTGCATTATCAACTGCACACAGCTTTTCCCGTTCCAAACTACCACTGAATAGCTGTTGTGTTCCACTGATGAACAGAGACACGCATGTTCTCCTAACTCTATTTGCGAGTTTGCAAAAAGATGAAGGTTTTTCCTCATATACTGAGTCAGCATGGGTCATAGCTCAGTTCCCCCACAAAGCAGTAAGTACAAAAAGATAATTCCATTGCCAATATAGGCCAACAAAAGCCTGTTTGGCAAAAGTATGGTAAGTCTCACCTTCAGTCAGCGAGTATGATGTGAAGCTTGGCTCCTATCCTTCCTGAAACCGCTGGTGGCTGCTCTCCTAGAGATTAGCTGCTTTTAGGAATGTTAGGAAGTGATCCTGAAACCTCAGCTGAAGAACTCCTTCAGCAAAGCCAGCTGTAGTACCACAAGCAATACGCATATTACCCTAAGAAGTACAAAATACCTACTAGATACTATGAGTGATATCTAGACTTAGGATACCAGACATGACACGGAATATATTTGTTTGTCATCATATTTGAAAGCAGAGAAAAGTTTCACAATTCTATCACACTTATGTTCTCCTGCCATGTTTGCCTACCTCTGTAATAAATTCGTTCACATGTTTATTGTTCAAGCAGGCCTGTTACCTCTTCGTTATCATAACCCAGCAACCACCTACTATGCTAAAGCCAAAATAACACAAAATCACTGATGAAGACACACAGAAACAGAATACATATACACTCACCCTCATAGAGGTTTCTCCACCATGGGGCTGTTGCAGCCTGAAGACTTGAGCTACCATGTGTTCTGTGGACGGGTGCAACAGGATACGTCGAGAAGCCAGTCCCACCATTACGTATCTGCCCATTGGAGACAGGCTGACAGAAATGGCATTAGGGCCTATAAAGAGAAGAGGAGTTATTTCTCTCACAGGTTGACATCCCTCCCCATGCCTCATCCTCACAACTTCTTCATTTCCTTCCAGCACTCCCATAATGTACGGCATACTAAGCTTGTCCTTATAAGGAGTAAAGAACAATAAGGAGACCTACACAAGAATAAATTTTGTGAGACGTTTCCTTGCAGCAAGCATCCTCCCACTAAGACAATGAAGTTTTTTAAAGAACGAAAAACTATCCCTTAGCAGCTCCCCCATACCAGCACCTTACATGTCCAGACCATACCACAAGCTTCTCCCCAGCAGTACTATATTTGTGGCTGGTTGGAAGGTCAGTAAAATATTTCCTGTTACTACAATCACCAGTGTTCAGACTATTGCATTTCTCATGGAAGGCTGAGTTCTGAGGTAACTTCTCACACTCCCACCCACCCTTACTTCTTGCTGCATGCTTACCAAAGCGCTTTGTGTAAAGCATCTCGCCCAAGTTGTGGGGTGCCAGAGAATACACAGCCAGTATCCCTTCATCAGGGAAGCCTCTTTGACTGCTAGGAATGAAGGCTGCCAGCAGCTGCCCATCAGCAGAGATATCGCAGCTAGCATCATTGTAAATCTTGCAGTTTTGAACAAGCACGTTCACAGAGGCTGCAAGGAAGAAAGGAAGGAACAGTGATTAAAGCACTCAGGTTCAACAGAGAATAAAACAAGATTAAAACCTCATGTTGAAAACTGGACAGTACATGCAAAAGACACTCAAGACATTTAGCTTCCTCCAAAAGTTTATAAAATGTTAATTCCCTGATTAATGAAAAACTTGCTCCAAAACGGAGATAAGACACCGCAATGAGCCCAGGGAATGAAAATCAACTCACGTCCTGAAGCCTTCAGCCAAGAAATAGTGGCAATTGCACTTTATCAAACCCCTCCTTTGTTGAGTATAACACCATCCTTTGTAAAGGACAGGACATTTTAAACAAGTCCCAAATAGTGACTCCCTGACAAACTCCAGCAGTGGTATCACTGGAAATAGTACACTCTAATTCATTTCCCCTTCTCTTGCAGAGCCCCTAGTTCCAGCTCCCCTATCTCCAATAAACAGGAGATGAGAGAGAAATTCCTCCCTGCAGATACATTCACTTCTGACAGCCAATTTTTACACCAATCTTGAATAAAGCAAGTGAGAAATGGCAGAGACTTCTTCAGTCAGTCCTCCATTTAATTACCCCAGTATTTGAGACACTCACGCAATCAGTGAAGGAACTGTTTAGCAGACAGTGAGCAGCAATTCAGAAGATGTAAGTTTTACTTTAATCTCTGATGGTGAGTTGCTGGGTGACCTTGTATAAATCTTTTCCCCTCCCTGCCTTGCATACACAGCCCATCAGCTCTTCCGGCTACTGAATCTTCCCATGCACTTGTGCTATTCCTAGTACAATGAGGTTCCAAGGCCTTTTAGCATCGTTGTCACCAACAGTTCAATGGTGGCTTCATAAGACAAGGCTGGTGTTATGTTCGCTCCCTCAGCCTAACCTAAGTGTTTCACTAAAACTGCTCAAGTGTTTCACTAAAACTGCTGCAATTATTCCAGGCAGTTTGGAGCTGAAACTGCACACACTATTTTGGGGGTGGAGGAATTTCAGATTCTAGTATTTTCAAACTCAAGGGGATAGAAGTATAAGAAAATAAAAATAAAGCCCACATTTGCAATATAGAAGCTTTGCATGCTAGAAGACCAAACACCCCATCTCACACGCTTGAAGCTACAGCATCATATGGCACAGTACGTCAACTTCTACAGTCCATGAATTCTCTTCTAAACCTTCAGACCATGTTCAGCCTCGAAGTGGCTTTGATTTGTTCAGCAAAAACTGCGAATGAGTTTATGAAGGCACTTATTGGGCTAGATTCCTTATTAGTTTAATGAAAGAATAGGGCCAAGAATGCTTTGTGCATACTTCTGAAAGTCTGAACTTCCAAATCAAATTAAGGCTGTAACTCAATGCTTTAACAAACTGGTGCTGCTGCCAGAAGAAACAATCCCTTTCCCTTTGTTTCCCCTTTTCACAGAAGTTTCCAACACTTCTGTGAAAAGAAAGCTACATGAGGGAACTGATAGGGCTGAGAAATTACTGACTGTTGTCTAGGTCACTTTTTAGCCAGAACAGTTTCCCAACCTGGTATGCCACATGGCCACAAAGACACTTGCAGCAGCAGCAGCAGAAGTCATCACAGGGAAGCAGACAGGACTACTCCTTCTTCCAGTATTGATGATTTAAAGTGCTTACTGAACCTCATCTTTAGTTCTTCTGGTCTCAAAGACATTTTTCCTGGAACTGCTCTCCTACATGGTTGAGTGTAAACTTCTACTGTTCCATTTAAGAAACTCCGATGAAAAAGACAACGAGGATAAAAAGTGGACAATGTAATTACATTCTGTACCAAACCACCTACACCTGTACTCTAAATTTATTCAACCATTTTTTCAGTCTCAAAGCTGCTAAAAACAGTAATTTCCAGCCTAGTATAAACAGAAAGGTGCTGAACAGAAAAAAGGTAAATAATGGTAGTCACTGTCAGTGCTGTAATAACAGAATCTAAAATACACATGGCCCTTTAAAGAACAGACTGTCCAAAAGATGACAAAATTCCCAAGTGCTTGGTTTGAAGGCTAGTTGAACAGAAAGATAACAGAATAAAGATTAAAGATTGTACTACCTAATTTTAAAAAAGGTAGAATTAAAGTTTGCCCCCCCCCTTTTTTTTTTAATCTAGGCTTCACTCAAGTACTCATTATGTCGTCACAAGAGAAGAGGTGCATCAACACAAGAACTGCAGTATATGATGTGAACTAGCTAAAGGATACATGACAACAGGTTGCACTATGGTAATCCCTGTCAAATTGGCAGAATTTCTGCAGAGCTCTTCAGTGACTTATTTCAAAACCAATCCTGTTTACTAGCTTCATCAATGAGCTAGGCACGCAGTGGAGCTGAATTCATCAACAGATGAATTCTGTTGATAATACTGGGTAATTTCATTAACAGGGCATTATCAGACCACATAGTGGACTGAAGTACACAGAGACATAACAGAAGTGAAATGAAAGAATTCTAGAGTGTGTTAACATTTAGAAAGTTCTGCTTTACCTAGGAGCTTCTCAGTTGGAAACAAGAGAGAATCAACTTTGATGATCATAGCAAAGACTGAGCCATCCACCCAGCTAACAGTGAAAGAGATGGCAATCCTGAACTGTACTACAGAGCGCACTTACAACAGAAATATCAGTGCTAGTAATACACTGGACATAGTCTTGGGCAGCCATGTTCAAGAAAGATTAAACCCTAAATGGTAACAAGATCAGCAAAGAGGTACAAAGATGACTGGGGAAAATGAAACATGTATTTTATGTTAAAAAAAAAAAAAAAGATTGGGAGGAAATAGGATTGTATTTACAAAAAATACCAGAAAGTAAGTGCTGGAAAAACATCAGTTCTCTTCACAAATAATGGTGACAGGTAAGTGGGTAAAAGCAGCCATTAAGTTTGGAAATTTGAGAATTCCTACCAGAATAGCAAGATCCTAGAATAGTCTTTCAACAGAAGTAAAAGGATTTAAAGAATTTAACTATTTTTAAGGCAGAATAAGAGAATCTATAGGACTGCTTGCCTAAGACAACAGGGAGATAGACTCAGTGGCTGAGGGGGTCCTTTCTCACCAACTCCTTTGTAGTTGTAATCTAATCAGCAGTGATCTACACAATAAAAAAAAAAAATTAAAAAAGAAAAAAGGGAGGTGTGGGAACTTACTGGACAGTTGAATATTGTGATTCTCCAGCCAAACCCAAGTTAACTACTTAAGAGAGCGCCAAGCAAGGCCAGCAACAGAGCAAAACTACACATTACACAGGAAGAGCATTTGCCAGAGATACAACTATGAAACACACCACCACCCCCACAAAAAAATTTGATTATTAAAAGAGAAAAATATAGTCCAGTCTCTTTCTTTGGGGTCTGTCATGGTTTAGCCCCAGCCAGCAACTAATCACCATGCAGCCGCTTGCTCAGTCCCCCATGGTGGGATGGAGGAAAGAATCGGAAGAGTGAAAAAAGTCATGGGTTGAGATAAAGACAGTTTAATAGGTAAAGCAAAAGCCGCGTATGCAAGCAAAGCAAAACAAGGGATTCATTCACCACTCCTCATGGGCAGGCAGGTGTTCAGCCATCTCCAGGGAAGCAGGGCTCCATCACACTTCATGGTTTCTTGGGAAGATAGACGCCATGACTCCAAATGTCCCTTCATCCCTTCCTTCTTCTTCGTCCTGACTTTATATACCGAGCGTGATGTTGTATGGTATGGAATATCCCTTTGGCCAGCCTGGGTCAGCTGTCCTGGCTGTGTCCCCTCCCAGTTTCCCGTGCACCCCCAGTCTTCTCGCTGGCAGGCCAGCATGAGAAGCTGGACTGTCCTTGACTACTTAGCAACAACTCAAAACATCAGCACGTTATCAACATCTTCTCATCCCAAATCCAAAACATAGCCTCACGCTAGCTTCTGTGAAGAAAATTAACTCTATCCTGGCTGAAACAAGGACAGGGTCTAAGAATCGTCCTCTCTCATTCCTATTTGGCTAGATATCAAAGTTTTTGTCCTGCTTCTCTGGGCTCAGGATGAAGTTTCCATGAGGTAGCCACACTTTCTCTACAATTAACTACTGTCATTTATTTGATGCTTAATATTGGAAGTAGCAAGACTGTACACTTGCTTCATCAGACCAAAGGTATGGGTGTCATTTAGCCCACGAACCCTTCCACGCTGATGAACTTCTAGTGCTTTTCAAAGAGGTGCCAGAAGTTTTAGAGGGGACAGATACTGATTTCTCTGGAAATAGGCAATGTTTCTTCCTTGTTCCTATAACTATTGAAAATCATAGCCTATAGAACCCATGTCTCTTCTCAGCTCTTAAAGTTTGTTGTTTTTTTTGGGTTTTTTTTGGTGTTTTTATCTAATGCAACCTTGGACATTCATAAGAAAAGAATCCCACATCTTTATTTTTGTAAGGTAAGAAATTCTTGTATTTCTTCTGTACCACTTACAGATGCAGGGACATTGCTATGTCTTGTACATATCCTCGCAGTTCTATGGCTACATTTTTTCCTTCCCAGGTCTCTAATCCTCCTCCTCATCTAACATTTACTATATGTCTTTTTAAAACAATGTTGGGTTTGGATCACCAGTCACCAAGAGTCTATTTATTATATAGCACGTTTTCACTCATTTTCCTATCTATAGGGTCCCCCGCATCGTTCTCCCTCCCGCCCTCAACACAGCACAGAGGTTTTTGGTGAGCAGTCCACAATGATGGCCAACATGACTGCGTATCTTGTTCTTTTTAAAGTCTGTTGCATATGGTGAATGCCTCTTAGCAAAACAGACTGTGAGTTCCCCTGGCAGAATTGAACTATCTTTCCCCCTTGATGTGTGCCTGGAACATAAAACATCACAGATGCAAGTTGTGCTAAACAAGAAAGAGCACTCTTTATTTTAGCCTTTCAAGATCTGATTCATGCTGGCATTATGGTTCTTTGCTCTTCTCTCACTTCCAAAGGATGAGGGAGTTGGGTAGCACTTACACCTAGAACCAAGGGAGCATACTATGCCAGCAGAAAATGTCTAAATATGAGAGGTGGAGATCTCAGCAAGGTTTCATTTTAAGGAACAGCATCTAAAAGATTCCCAAGACACAGGGAGGATGAAGATACCCATGCATTTGACAAAGCTGCAAGCTATTTGGTTTCTTTGAGCTTGAGGCCTGATCTATGAAAGTGAAGCCAATACAGAAGATTTTAGGGAGAAAAATTGCTATTTTTGGAAAATCATTTACAACAAGGCTGCCCTTTCATCTCTTGTTTTCTTTTGTTGTTAATGCAGCCACCAAGCTGACAGAACAGATCAAAAGAAACATCAGAGAACAAATTAATCAAGCTGTTGTGCCAACTTGGAGTGCTTACACCTACAGCATAATTACGCTTGAAGCTGGGGAAGGCCTGGAATGCTGGCAGCAACAGCACTGTTTGCCAAAGGAAAATAGTGCTGGGTGCACCATCCGCTCCTAGCCACCCTTAAGGATAACACTTTCCTAACAGCTGCTCCTATTTATATGTTGTTTAGCATGCCTTTTTTGTTTTTTCGTTTTTTTTTTTTTTTTTTTTTTTTTTTTTTTTTTTTTTTTCTTTTAAGTTCTTCTGCATCCCACTGTGGATCAGCATGTATTGATCAAACCACCTTTCTCAAGTCCCAGCCAGTGTTAGAACAGGACAAACTCCTGATATGTGACTAACTGCGGAAGAACTAGACCAGTTCAGCCACAATGACTGGAAAATGAAATAATGAGCTGTGAGCAGCGTCAGAGAAACTGTATTTGAAAAATATAAACAAGAAACAAAACCTTCAAATAGTTTATCTGTGGAAAGGCTATATTCTACACTGTTCACCGATTCAATACTTATTGTTACGTTGCAGGACATTTTAAGGATCTGCAACACTTACTAGAAGAATATTCAATAAATGCCAGAGATAGCATTGTTTCTGCTGCCAGCTAAATACCCCACCCCGATGCTGATATGACTGCCAATTACAGTATAAGTCTGGGTCATGTTCATTTCAGAGTTATTAAAAGCAAAACTGGCAAAAGGAGAGAAGAAATCTGAAGCCATCTTTATCCATTTTGCAATTAATAGAGAAAGACAGGGCAGAGACTAAAATCCTACAAGTCCTTGCAAAACCATTTCCCCAAGACCATCGGACTCCCCTCTTGTGCGCCTGCTGGATTAAGCGTTAGCGAGGTGGCAGCTGTGGAGCAGAGTCCTAAGCCCAGGGCTCCGAAGGACGCTTGGGGCTCAGACACTGAGATCACACAGGACTGCACTAACCACGCTGCTGTCACTTGCTCAGATGTGTCCACTTCAGTGGAAAACATCCTACTTCCAAACTACCTTTTCTTTGTTTAATTGTAACAGGAAGAACTGCTCAGAGATGGAGGTTGGCCATAGCGTCATTTCTTTGTTGGAGAGTGGAGCTGGCAGGCAGTCCCAAACTTCAGCTGCATCATTTCATCTGCCTGAACTCCCAAACCATTTGTGGCTCAAGTCAGTCCCAGGAAGTGCAATAGCCCCCTCTATGTAAGCAGACTCTCTCACATGACCACCTCTGATTTATAGGAAATGATGGGAAAAAATGGAGCTATTGAGGTCACACGCTTTACTAGGAAAATAGTTTATTTCCAAGATCATGAAGAGTCAGAAAAAACTCCTCCAACCCACTGTTACACATTGAGCTTCACAGTATCTCTACAAATCTGTGTACCTTGGCAAGCACCTTGGCAGACTTACAGCTTGCCTTTGTTCTGTGCCTAATCAAGCTTGGCAAATAACTGTTGTAGGATAAGCACGGCTGCTACATCTTCATACACACCTACTAGACCTTGGCAGAGAGAGGTACAGCTAACAACCTAGAAATGTCAGAGTTGGGCTCAGCATGTAAAAAGGAAGAAGCAGGAGTAAAACTGAACATTTCCAAATGGTAATAAATAAAGATGAAGAAGCCAAGTATTACGAAGCACAGAGTGGGAAGGCAGAAGGCCTGAGTATGGACTTTTATCAGAAACCCTGCCTGCAAGAAGGGCACAATGACAACAGAAACCATAGCCCAATTTCCAGCTAACGGGAAGCTATTTCGGAATGGAAGTATCCTGGTAGGGGAGAGGGAGAAGATTGAAATATTGATGCGTTGAGGAGCAGATGGTTCTTATTTTCTATAGGATTCCATAAATTATAAACAAACATCTTAGCCTTCTTTTTTTTTTAAATTAGCAGCCTTCCTTTCTGCAGCCAGATGAGGCAAAAAAAAAAAGAAGCTATTAGCAGCTGTAGCACTCTTCAAATACTTCACAAGTTTGCAGAGAAGTCCCAAAGAATTTAAGTCAGCAGCAAGATGCTTCCCCCTCTGACTTCATCTTTATTCTGTTCCAGAGTCTGGCTGGACTGCAGAAAGTATTGCCACTGCGTGGCAAAACTTCGCCTTGGGCACTTACAACCTCACACTATTACTACAAAGACACTTACAAGACATGTCAAAGCACTGGCACATGAGTTCAACACAGTATTCTACTTTCAAAATGACACTGCATGCTCCTTCCCAAGAGACACAATGGTTCTTAAGGAAAAAATATAAAGCACCTTTCCCCTTTACGTTGTCGATGGTTACTGTCTAGAAACAGGGCTTTTATTTCCCGACAGGCTATAAACATCACACCACAGTAGTCTACATGATGTGAAGGAAGGACATGAGACAAGCACCAGATACTTTATAACTCTAGGAACTACACAGTAAGAGAGCTATTTGTAATAATTTGTAATAGCAGGATGGACTACTGGTGGGTTTTCCCCAGCTCCTCTAATTTCCCAGAGACTGGGAGATAAATGGCCCTGTAACAGGTGGCCCAGAGAAGTTGTGGATGCCTCATCACTGGAAGCATTGAAGGTCAGACTGGATGGAGCTTTCAGCAACCCAATCTATTGAAAGACATCCCTGCTCATAGCAGGGCAGGTGGACTAGATGATCTTTAAAGGTCACTTTGAACCCAAACCATTCTGTGATTCTATGATTTCAATTCCCCACATCTCTGTTGCTATGGTATCACACATGTGCTCCTTTTTTGGGTTCTTTAAGCAACAGGACAGTACCCCACAGAGACCTCTCTTGACAGACACGTAACTTCTAGAATTGCAGAACAGACAGGGCAAAGACTGGGAGAAACATTTTTCTTAATTCATTTCAGTGGCTACCTGTGAAACCAGAAGTCTTTCTGAAAACAGAATCCCTGTTCTCCCTAAAAAGAAGCCAGTCCATTAAAACAGAACCCAATCTGGTTTCGCTGAGAACACAAGCAATGAATTTCACATATGCACAGAGATGGCCTAAGCTAAAAATCACTATACAAAGAAACATTCATGAATATCTACCTCCTATCTTCATCCCAGGCTGCCACAAATATTTCTACAGCTGAACAGCAAGCTGTATCAGGATACCATTCTGGCTTAAAAATAGCTTTTCTAGTCAATTTAGTTTTTGCCCCAAATAAGTCATTCCTTGATCAGCTGACCACAAGCATCAAATATTCTTGTGCCTGCATAAAGAAATCTCTTCCAGAGTGAATGCTAGCTTATGCCATAGAACATATGTAAAACTATGGTCTAATTTTTACAAAGGGAAGGAGAGAATAACTAAGTAAAATCAGCAATATTGCTCATATTCTTGATGGAGAACAGCTTTCACCTGAGACATGGAACAAATCACTGCTTTTGCAAATGGCCAGAAGCTACATCTACCTCCCTTGGCTTTCAACACTGTGGAAAGCAACAGACCAGGGCCAAGTCCGAAAACGTATTGCAGCACTTTAACCCACACTAATATCAGTAACTTGGAGAATGCAAACCCAATTTATTAGCAGGTTCTAATGTAAAGGTATAAAGACAATATCCCTCTAGAAACTTGTTGGTTAAAGAATGAGGAGATTGGATACAGAATTCTAAGAGGACTGTATATTCCCATGAGAATGCTCACAGAAAAGCCCCATTTATGCATGGATTTGCCAATAGCAAGAATACACAGCTAGACAGAGCAGGAACAGCTCTGCACGCTTTTAGTCAACTTTCTCAAAAGGCTAATCATTTTACAGTTCCCAGTGCAACAAGACAGTCAAGTAATCCAGGGCTTGCAACATACAACTACCTTTGGAAGATCCCAGAGCTTACAGTAGCTCTGGTTGGTATAGACTTAGAACAAAGTACTAGTGTCCTTTCCAGCTTACCATTGCTGATTTCAGGCAGATCAAATTTAGTGAAGTCCCACCACTGGAGCCGGTAGGTGGTGTTGGCAATGTTGCTGGCCACAGCTGACTGTCCATCCCCAATCACAGCACCTACAGAAAAGGAGGAAACAATTAGCAATTTAACCTCCAGAAGATTATCCAGAAAGAGCTGGGGAGAAAAAAAACATAGAAAACCTTTCAAAATCCAATAGGCAAAACTCTAGATTCTGAAAGAAACCTTATTTACAGAAATGGCAACACCTCCTAAATAAGCCACAGAGCACAGGAAATTAATATGAAGGCACCTCTCTGCAACACATTTCTGAAAGGAAAGATTTGCCCAGACTCACAAGGCAGAAATTCTAATCAATTCATTTGGTGCAAATGCATTCTACTTATTGGCATTAGTGAAGCTGTATTTTCAGAGACCTAACATTTTCTAGTACAGCTATAAAAGCAGACCAGAATACATATTAAGGAAAAGCATTGCTCTGGCAAATCACACACATTAGTGTCCATAATCCCTGCTACTAGTGTAAACTCCATGCAGAAGACACAGGTTGCCTACAATACTTGCCACACAGTAATGACTGTAACAAAATATCAGCAAGGAGGCCCTTTGCTGCTCTGGGTGGCCCAATCTACCAGCAGGCAGGGGCTGCCCTGGCTCCAGGCAAATGACATGATCCTTTCTAACCACTCAAGGATTATGGGCAACAGCCCAAAAGCAGAAGGCTAAGCAAAATACTTCAGAAACTAGCACAAACAACATAATTTTCCAGGCAGAAAGGAACTGTCATTGGTAACTCAAGTCGGCATACATCTGAGCTAGCTCAGAGGCATTAAATGCAATCCCTAGGGAGACAAGTTGAGAGAAGAAACAGTTCTCCCATAATAGTACTAGAGTCAAAAATCTCATGCTATTTGCAGTCTCTAAGGCCTTCATATACATGCAGCCCTTGTACTACATACACATGCTGGCACCCAGAGAAACTCAAGGTAATAGAATTTGATAAGGGAGAGCAAAACAAGATCATCCCCAAGCACAAATGAGGAAAAGCACAGCCCCCAGACTCTACAGAGTCTGGATTTTAGCATCTCCAGTGGCAAACACACAGAAAAGCCAGTGGCTTCACTCTCCCAGAAGGGCAAGCTCAGGACTCTGCTGCCACAGCGTCAATAGCAGAAGAAACATCACTTTGACAACTCTCTATATCCAGTACGCAGCAGGCCTGCCGCCTGCACAGAGAGCTAAAAGCTTGCTAACTGCTAGTAAATGAAAGTGGTGTGGAGGAAGATGAGGAGACTAAAGTGGCTGGATTTTTACTTTTCTTAACAAATTCCAGCAAAACACTCAGGCTGGGGGGGGGTGGAGTGGTGTGTGTGTAAGGCCTGAAAACACACACACACACACACAAACAGGGTTTATGTTTTCTTTGCAACATAAAGAACAAAGGAGGGCAGGGCAAAGCAGGGAAGCAAATTCTAGACTGGTACTGACAAATAAAGAGAAAGACACCAAGAAGGCTGCTGTTTTCATCGATAAGCTGTCTCCAGTCCTGATTTTTGGTTCTGGAGAAAGATCAGAAATACGCCAAGAGCAAGACTTCTGAGCAGCCAGCTTTACACTGTGTACTCAGCTGTGCCAGGCCTCCAGCAATCGACAAACCTCCACCGTGCGTCTGCTCGGTCTCTGTATCTGCCTCCGTCAGATGTGCACGTATCACTCAGAGAGCAGACTTAAGAACATTTCTATTGCTCTCACATACGCCCCAGGCCTTGTTCTCCACATCACCCAAAACAAAGGTCTCCTCTGAACAAAAGATATGCACTGGAAAAAGCAGATTCAATGCATTAATAAAATTACATTTTTCAGCCAGAAGTGGAAGAAGGACAATTAAATTTTATGTTGCTTCATCTTTAAAAGTCACCTCATTGCAAGCCCGGGTTTGGTACACAAGGGAAACTCTTCTGCTGTCTTGCCTCCAGCCACCAGGTGGAGAACAGAAAACTAGTTTCTGTACAAATTTCAAACAGTGGGACTTGCTGCAGGGAAACAGTAACTAACGTCACCAACTAGGTAGCAACTGCCTTAACAGGACTGAGTCAGACAAGGAAACACTCTGCAAAGACAGGCAACAGAAGTACTACTCAGGGCACATCATTCCAGAATATTGATTTTATTGCAGATGAGCATTACAAAGTCTCCTGTTTTGCAATGAGAACAACCTTTGTAGGCATAGCAAGTAATATATAAACTGGAGAATAATACACCCTACGAGAGTAATCATGCATTAGCAGCATCACTAACTGCTCCACAAACAGCAAGTTCCTCTGGCTTATACAACTGTTGCACCTATTGCTACAAGTACCATAAAAATGCTGTTGGCAAATGTTTTTTAATTTTTTTCTGTAAAGATTCTGGTCTTCTCCTCTCTTTCCCCAGAACCTTTAGGCTAGTTACGGTGTTCATTTAAACCTCGTATCCCCTTCACTTCCAAAGGCAGTCACATCCTACACGGAAAAGCTAACGGAAAAAAAACAGTGCCTCGCCATCTACAGGACAGCCCTGCACAAATTTCAAAGCCAGCAAAAGCTATCAACTAATGATAGTGCTTCAGGTAACAGACACCTTTATAAAAAAGATTAGGATCCAGGGGAAGGGGTTCAGAGAGTCAAAAGTGTGTGCTCAGAAGGATTTGGTCCACTTCAAGGGCTCCAAACTACTGTGCCTAACAGTAATGGCAAATCCATGATCTACGTGTTTTTATTAAGTAATTACTTCTACTTATACTAATTATGTAATTGAGAGTGTAATTATTAAATTATATCTGTCTACATATAACAAAGTGGAATAACATTTGTATCACAAGTCCTGCCAGAAGCCTCCCACATGCATGCGTGCACTGTCCTACAGTAAAGATAATTAAAAGCATGCAAATATTTCAGACATTCAATTTAGGGAGGAAAATACCCCCCAGTACACAACTATGCTATCTTAACCTTTGTTGTTCACTTTTTCATTGCTTGATAGGGAAGATTTGAGACTATGGGTGGAATAAAGTTAAAATCCTTGCTACAGAGCATTTGTTCATCGTGCAGTGAGAGAACTCATTCTCAGCTGGCTTTGTCCAGTCAAGATTTCAGCCTGTGTGAGAGCAGAAGGTGCTGTCATCTCTTAAGTTCTAGTGTAACCTGGAGACAAACAACACACTTCAGCTTCTTAACTGTGGGCAGCGGCAGATCAGCTCGTGCAATCAGCAGTTCTCACCAAGCACTTAGTCTGTCCCAATTCCTGGGTCTTCCACTGTTTGATGGGATCACAAGTGACTGCAGTGGGTACCCGTGGGTCTCAGGCTTGTCATCCCCATGAACAGAACGACCTTTTACTGCAGAGATTATGTAGATTTCAAAATGCTGAAATCCAAATCCAATTGAAATGCAGTGAACGTAGGTTTGATTGGCAGCTTTCCTGTGTCTGTCTATCACTGCGTAATAAACACTGGATGATGGCAGAAACGAAGATAAATGCTTTCAGCAGCTCCCCCCTTCTCCCCCTACCACCCTGATCTCCATCCACCCCCACTCAGCACATGACAAGAGAGTTTAAAGGAGTGGGGGGAAAAAAGTCTTAACAAAGACTTAAAAAAAAAAAATAATCCTCAAATCTTTTCTTATAGGCCACCTACACGTGACAGATATTTATCCGTCAGTCTCAATCCCCTCAGAGGGTCCAACTCATCTTGGCATGTGGAGAAATGAACCTCTGCCAGTCAGCTATTGCTCATTTATGAATCAAGTCATGCAAGCCAATGTCTGAGTTTAGACTGGAAGCAAAAAAAGTTGTGCAAAACCACTTTCCATGGCACTCCAGCACTCCTTCAGGAAGAGCAGGATACTTCCAGACTACAACTATCAGACTCTCCAAGGACAACCTAATACTCAAGAGCTACACAGGCGTTGGGGCACAAGTTTCAAGAACATGGAACATCTACGTGTTATGGAAATTTCTTTCCCATGTATTTAACAGAAATAAGAGCTCAATTTTTTTTTCTAGATTAGCTCCTTTACTCTTAAGTTTTTGGTGTCTGGCAGGTCCCCTCATAGTAAGAGAAAAATTTAAGATGCTTATAGATAAGCTGGAAAAGTCCTTGAGCTAATTTGTGACTCAATTTGAGACAGTGATTAGGCCCTGGTATAAAATTCCCCCTAGACTAGTAATTGCATCTTTAAGCATGAGTACCTTTGAAAAGTAATTACCTCTTTATGAACCCATTTGTAGCTGTAGCTAATGATACTGAGGTTATCCCACGCTTGCAGAAAGGATCTATCACAGCTGACAAGTTTTACATTTACTAGTTCTAGATTTACTGTAATCCAAGCTCCAGGAAGCCCAAAACACAGGACAAATTTATTTGACAAACCAAGGATCAAGATCTTTGCTGCAAGAATACACCAGATTTTCTCAAACAGTTCTGAAGCAATTTCAATACAGCTGAAATGTGACTACTGGTCTCTGAAGCCTAGTGGAGATGTGACAGGTTCTTGCACATCTCTGACCCTAAAGTATTTTATGGGGCAGCCTGGTTTTGGGGACTACCTTTGGTCACCTTAAATATATTAAACTGTGAATATGAATTTGACAAGTCCCAGCAAATCTCTGTTCCAGGCTACCACAAAGACACTCCCTTTGAAGTAGCTGAGCTAACTATCTAAAACTGTCCTAACGCTGTAGAAACAACATGCATAGCAATCCAGTATTTTCAAGGATTCACTTTGCTTGTTTTTCAATGGACCAGCAAGTTGTAAATAGGAAGTGGGCACAACAATTTTGAACAGATGCACAAAATGTTACGAAGGGCAGTTCGGCATATGCTAAGCACTAAAGGGATCTTTGATTCAATGTTAACTGAGAAAGCTCCAAAGAGGTCTATGCTCTCTGAAGGCTGAACCCTTCACAAGGCTATTATTTTTCCTTTATCCTAGATTTACAAAATAAGAAGAAATGCAATTTCCCATTCATGCTCATTCCTACTGCAAAATTTCCTTTTAAAAGGGGCAATGTTTAGCATGTTGAGTTCCACAGTCCTGTCATCTATGGGAATTGATAT